ACATCCACTAATAGATTTATTAAATTTCCAAACCTATTAAACAATGATTAAAATAATAATCATACCTAGACCAATCCACCATTTCTTTTAAAAAGAAACTCCTTTAACCTGAATTCCATCATAATCAGTTATTTAATCATTTAAACAATAAATTATAATAAAAGAAATACTTTATTTAATCCCAACCCGATAATGATTTTAATTATTTAAATCACATATCCAAAATCCAAGCTTTGACAAATCATCTATGTCTTCCCCAATATTATTTTATTAATATAAAATAATACACTAACCAGTAAGTACTAAACTATTCTCATTTAAGAATATCTAATCCTAATCCAATCTATACGTACAACAACCATAGATGATATTTTAATCATCTAACACATAGTAATGTAATTACACTTTGGCAAATCAACCATATCATTACAAATATTTTTATTTATATATTGACAATTCAACCATGCCTCCACAAGTATATTTATTTATACATTGACAATTCAACCATGACTCCGTGTATGTATATTTATACATTGGCAATTCAACCATGCCTCTACAAACATATATATTTATATTTTTAAACTAGCAACTCATCCATACTTCCTATGTATCTATTTTATTCATACGAATACTTAGACATTATATTTACATCGATGGCAACTTATTCATGCCTACAATTCAACCATGTACCAACTTTAAACTCAACGATAGCTAATCCATACATAAACATCTCTTGTAGATTATAAGCATATCACAAATTTACTAACCAGCCTATCCAGATATATCAAATAAGAATAGTAATAATAATCGTCTCAAATAATATATACACATATATTATTCAATATGTATATCTGTATATAATACATTCCTTAATAATATTTGATTATTTAAAATCATATATACATATATATAAGTAAATATATATGTATACACCTCATTCTATACGAATCATAACTTAAATCAACCATATATATCCACATCTATAACTATATATATATATATACACATCTCCTTCCATGGCAAAATATTTAATTAATTATATTTACGCCAATTAAATGGTACTAAATATCTTAGCAACACTGTAAGGCTTTCAGAACACCAATAACACGCCCTTTAATGGTTAATTTCAACCCCAACAAGCTTAAAATAAATTCTGAATAATCACCGGACACCACAGAACCTCACCAGAACCCCAAACACTTCCTCACGCGCCCTCATGCGCCACCAAATGCTCCCACACTCTCTGCACGTGCTTCCACGCGCCATCATTCACTAGCAGGCGCGTTCACGCGCCTGCAAGCAAGTTTTCCAAATATATGTTTATAATATTTATTTGTAATGACCCACTCTACTACATGGTATGATATTGTTCACTTTGGGCCCAAACGCGAACGGTTTTGTTATTGGGATTCACCTCAAAAGACCATATACCAATTGTAGTGTATACAACTTTCATATTGTCTGTTTTGGGCCCGCCCGAGCCTGCACGGTTTTGTTTTGGGCATGGAAAGGGGAAATGCTATATATATAGGATTTATACATTCCAATTGGTATGAAACCGTTCAGGGTAAAACTTAAGAACAAAATCGTGTGGGCTCAGGCACAAAGCAGACAATATCATACTATGTGGTGGAGTGGGTCGTTACAAATGGTATCAGAGCCTGACCAACCAGAAGTGTGCTAACGGGGACATCGGGCCTCTTACGGGGGTGGATTGTGGCGACCGTGTGGGCGGGTGCAAGAGGCATTGACATGCTACCACACTAGGCAAGTTGTAGGTGCACAATCCCACATCAATTGGGTATGGAAAATAGGAAATGTTATATATGTATGATTTGTACACTCCAATTAGTATGGGGCATTTTGGGGTAAAACCCAAGAGCAAAGCCGTGCAAGCTAGAGTCTAGAACGGATAATATCATACCATGTATTGAAGTGGGTCGTTATAAATGGTATCAGAGCCTAACCCTGCCGAAAGTGTGGCCAACCGGGACGTTAGGCCCCATAAAGAGGGGTGATTGTGGCGACTTTGTGGGTGAGTATGCCGATGGCGAGTGCAAAAGGCATTGGCAAGCTACCATACGTATGGGTGTGGAAATGGGAAGTGCTATATATGTAAAAGGTGATATCTCTAATTGGTATAAGACATATTAGGATAAAACTGAAAAACAAAATTGTACGGGTTCAGGCTAGCGAACAATATCATACTATGTGGTGAAATATAAGTTTTACATTTCAAATTCAAATTCGTAGATTTCAAGTCCATTGAATTTAAAATGTAATCTTCCCTTTGGTCAGAAAAAGTGATTAGACCACATGTGGGCTTGAAGTGTGAAATTGAATGCCTTGTATCTTTGCCACTATAGTGTTTTCCTTTCTCGAAGAGGAGATTAACTTATTTTTATATATTTGCATAAAAACTACTTTATATATTATAAATTTACAAGATGAGAAGCATCGATGACTCAGATTCCTTACTTAGAAGAAGAATTTTTTTTTTGTTTGTTTTTTTGTTTTTTTTTTGTATTGATGCAAAATTCCACACGATTTAAATTCAAGGACCTTTCTTGTTAGAGAAGTGAAGTGATGATGGGTGTGGTACGAGTCAGGTGCACTATAACAGTCCCAGGCCGGTCAAGTTAGTACTTGAGCCATTATAAGTCAAAAGAAGACTTTGTATTTAATTTTTGGCATACTTGTTTAGGTTGACCAACAACTCCTTTTATAAAAGCATTAACTTCATAAAACTGATTCATTTTCCTTGCCCGTCATAAATTGGAAGAGTTATGGAAGAGGCTGGTAGTAGTTATTACTACCTCATTGAGTTTATATACCTTTTAAATTTCCGTGTCACTTGGACTTCTTAACCGATCGAATATCCTATATCATTTATATATTTGTATAAAGGTTGAAGCCTTCCTCACATTAAATCCATTTTTTTTCTCACAAGTGTTTCGTTTAATTCTGATAGAGTGAGGGAGGGAAAAATCCGCATGCGATTGTTGAACTTTAAACGTGGTTCTATCATAAACTATGGTCCCTATTAAAAAAAAAAAAATTGGGTGCTTCATATCACGTTAGCTTCGTTGTTATTTTTTCAGTTACGTAAAAGAGAAGTTTAACTGATAATTGTTCTCTTAAAAACATTACTCAATATAGAATTGTGCAGTTGTACAATTCCACGGAATCTCCTATGCTTACGATATTTGTAACTTGAAAAAAAAAAAAAAAAAAAAAAAAAAAAAAAAAAAAAGAAGCCTTGAAGACTGAACTCCATTTCTCATTATTGAAGGATATTATTATGGAAGATTCTGATCGTTCCAACTGAGTCTAATCGCACTTGTCGAAGCGGTGAAGACTGAGGACTTGAGGTGCTGGAAAAGTTTGACTAGTTGCACTTAAGTCCTACTGGTTGCGGTTGCCTGACTAATTGCACTTTTCCAAAGGGCCTATACTTAATGGAGGAAATTGTTTCTCATTCCAATTCTTCTATTTTAAAGTTAGAGATTGTTTTGGTAATTCTTGGTAGGCAAGTTATGAGAATTGTTGTCCAATAAGGACTTAGTAATCGAAGAGTCTATAAATAGAGGTGGACTTGAATGGAGAAGATAGAGAGAGTAGAAAATATGTAGGGTTTGAAAGGGTGAGCGTTACGAGGAGATGAGAGAATTTGTAAATTGTAATTCCTGAGTGTAGGGATATTGCTTCAAAGGTATGATAAGAGAGTGGGTGAGGCTTGGTATCTATAGTTGTATATTTTATTCCTTGATTCATAATAGTGAAAATACATTCTTCATGGACGTAGTCTTAGTTTCAATGGGCCGTGTAAATATTATGTTGTATGCAAATGTGTATGATTGTTATCTTCATATATATATATATATATATATATATATATATATATATATCCAATACTTGGCTAATTGTTGTTAAGAATTAAATATATCTTGCATCATACACACTGAAAGCGCTTTCAGTGTGTATGATGCAAGATATATTTAATTCTTAACAACAATTAGCCAAGTTTTGGTTGGAGGAAGTTAAACCATCCCTAACCACAAATTAGTACGAATCTCTAAGTTAATTTTTCTCAAAGCTCTTGATCTCATCCATAGTGAAACTAGAGAGAAGAGCTCATGGTTTCACTCAAAAATGGAGACCCAAATCTTATAATTGGCCATTTTATCCAAGTCTCTGTTACCTCCATTGATGAACCAGTCTTTGATCTCCCTTCACCTACTCTTTAATATTAATTTTCTCAATATTTGTTATTATGAGAAAGAGTAGTGAGAGCTATATAAAAGAAAAAACTATGTTTGCTATTATGTGAAAGAACAATCGGATCGATATAATTTTTCCAGTAAGAAAAAAACTATGTTGTTCTTTGAAAGAGTAGTCGAAGCTATATAAATTTTTAAAGAAAAAAAGTTAGTGGTCCAATCACAATTGCACAAATAATTTGTAATTACAAAGTCAAGAAAGTGAGATAATAATTTTTTTTTAAAATAAATTCAGTCAACTCTTTTATTTTCTTATTTATAATTTTATAATTAAAGATTATTTGTGTATTTTTAAACTGGTAGTCAATAGGAATGACTTGCTCACCTGTTAGTAGGAAGTCTTATCCAAAATTTTTATTTTTATTTTTATTTTTAGAGAAAACTATGTTTGCTATTACAGTAAGAGAAAGAATATTCGAAAATATATAATATTTTTTTGGGAAAAAAAAATAGCTATCGGAGAGAATCCATTTTGAAAGGGATGTGCATAGAAGTGTGTAGTGGTCCACACCCAATGATTACCATATTTGCATCGAAACATAGTATATTAAAGAGTTCGAACTCCACTACCCACAATACATTTCTCTCATTCTAGTTGATCGAAACCCTTCCACCATTACAAGTTTATATTTTACTCCACCACACACAAACAAACGGTTACAGAATCTCAGAGTTCATATCTCAAAACCTCTTCTTGATCTCATCGATGACAACCATTTCTCAAACCCTACTCTGTAATCTCCATTGATACACCTGTACTCTTTGATCTTCTTCCTTCACCACCTTCTCTTTCATCTGTACCACCCACCAATTCTGATTTCTGACCGACTCAAGGAAACCAATGCCGAGTGGTTGTTGATTGAAGGGCCGTGGTTGGCCCATAGATTGCATAGCCACCATAGATGAAAAGTACCCGCCACCAGAATAGTATGAATTGATGGCTGGATTAATCCCCGGCGGCGAAACCAAAGTACCCATTCCTTGTTGTGTCAGATTTTGGGGTACTTGTAGCTCTTGCTGTGGCGGACCTGGTGGTGGTGGTGGTTGAGATCTCGAATTATCTCCTCCGCCGCTGCTTGAGGAGGAGGCTCCTTTGGCCCGCTTCCCTTTCCGACATCCGCCTCCCACCGGTACATTCCTTAGGGTTCCTCCTCCTGACCAGTACCTCCCCCTAGAAGTCTTGCAAAAGTAGCAAGGCTGAGAGAGACTGTAATTATTATAGTAGCAAAATTTTGTGTTCGGTGTGTCACAACGAGTGCACTTTTGAGGCTGCTGCTGTGGTGGCTCCTGATGATGCGGTGGTTTTCCACCATCTGATTGAACCACCGGCGGCCTCACCATTCTCCTTTGATGTAGATCTTGCTGCTGCTAGCTCCTCCTCCATTTCTCACACCTCAAATCAATCACTCTCTCTCTATACATAGATATATTGTTTTTCGCTAGGTAGATTGATTTATTGTGTATGTTTCATGGTCGATCTCGCTTCAACATCCCATGAATTTAGCCAAACCACATAGAACAATATCGAACCTTTCATCATTGTATATTTGTTCACCACCCTATAATGCTGCTCTCTTGTGCCTTAAAAAGGCTCCTCAGATTTGATAGCTAGCTTATAAGCATAATCAGTGAATGATTGTTGTCATCCTGACAAATGTGCAAATAATATGGTAAGCAGTTCGCTCCAAAAACAAAATATGATTCGTATGCACAATCCAACAATAGTTACCTTGGTGTCTTTACTGATTATAAAAAGATTTCCAGTACTGCAGCCGTGCCCATCCATGTGTAATGGTACTTGGAGCTGCTGCATTCGTCGCGTGCATATTGGGGATCGTTTTGGTGTACATTTGGTATGCCTCTCTCCACCCAAAAGTAAGTTTTACTCTTCGGTCTATGTTTCGTTTATATATATATATAGTACATATGTTTTGCTGGTCTGCCATTACAAGGCATGGTCTCTGATCTTCTAATTTGCTGCCATGATCACAATGTACTGCCTTTCCATGTAACATTGTAGTCAGAGCACATCTTTCCATTAACAGATTAATAACAATAATATTAACAATAATGGGAATTATAACCGTTAACTATTATTGTTACTGCTATTATCATAATTTTGATACCCTTATCATTTAATTAGAAAATCAGGTTTCCTTGCCCTTACCGAACTTGAAGGATCTATACGAAAAGCTAACATTCTATGTATTATGTATTCAGAATTTATACTTGTATGTCTACTTGCTCATAAGGAGCCAGTTCATCTTGACAGAAAGGTTGCCTTTTTTTCTTTCAAATCACAGGTTAGTTATTGAAGTTCTTATATATATGTAGAAAACCTGAAATGACAGTCAGTTTAAAATTTTAGCTATGTGATGAGAACTTAATTTCAACCTATCTTCATGGTTTATCAGTATTGTAACTTTCCTTTGTCTCTCTATAGATTTATCTTCAGTCAACCGTTATATTTTTTCGCACTTTGATTACATATTGTGTTCACAGTGAAGTAGTGAACCACCTGAGGAAAGATGTATCAAGAATGCGGAATCTGCAACTAAAGGAGACTGGCTTACTGTCACAGGGGTAACACTTACCATCATAGTAATTTTGGGATTTCTTAGTTATTTTTATAAATCCTGTTTATAATTACTTGCAGTTTCAACAAAAATGGAACACTGTTAACTATGATAATTACTTGCAGTTCTCTACGTGGTTGGCTAAACTCATGGGCTGTGGAAACGAGATCGAGCACAAAGAATTTCCTATTGGTTTCATATTCAATAAATCAATCTAGCCAAAAACAATATATTTATATATAGAGGGAGATCGATTTGAGGAGTGAGAAATGGAGGAGCAGCAGGAAGATCTTCATCGACGGAGAATGATGAGGCCGCTGGTGGTTCAATCAGACGTTTGACAACCACCGCATCATCAGCAGCCACCACAGCAGCAGCCTCACAAGTGCCCTCGTTGTGACTTGCTCAACACAAAGTTTTGTTACTATAACAATTACAGTCTCCCTCAGCCTTGCTACTTTTGCAAGACTTGTAGGAGGTACTGGACTCAAGGAGGAACCCTAAGGAATGTACCGGTTGGAGGCAGATGTCGGAAAGGGAAGCGGGCCAAAGGAGCCTCCTCCTCAAGCAGCGGTGGCAGAGATAATTGGAGATCTCAACCACCACCACCACCATGTCCACCACAGCAAGAGCTACAAGTACCCCAAAATTTGACATGACAAGGAATGGGGACTTTGGTTTTGCCTCCGGGGATTAATCCAGCCATCAATTCAAACTATTCTGGTGGTGGGTACTTTTCATCTATGGTGGCTATACAATCTATGGACCAACCACGGCCCTTCAATTGGATTTTGTTATAATTGTTCTTTGTGATTCTAATAATGTTCTTCTTTAAACCTCAAACTTCTATTGGTTTCTCTAAATTGATGCTACGGTGTTTGTCATATTGTTTGCATTATATCTTTTATCATTTTCCATTATGTCATATTCTTATTCATAAATTTCTTTTTACATCATTAGAAATTTATAGAAATTAAATCGGTTGCATTAATGTTCAGGAAAATTTCAGTATGGTTCAAATAAACAAAGACTATTATTCATCAGAGTATTTTAGTAGGAAATATCTGCTAAACCAAAATATTGTGATTGTCAGATTTTACATATTATAGTGCATCATGTAAATGCTTGAGCTTGCAGGATAGGTCCTTCTTGCTTATTGGCTCGAACTACTATGCTACAAGTAATGAGGCATGATTCATGAACTATTATGTAACCTGCGGTACAGAGATACAAGAGGTATTAATTTTCTTAATGGCTGCATTATTGTATTTTGGGCTGATCTTATCACTGCATATATTGTTTTCTATCTCTGAATAAGCACTCACTACAAGGAAGAAGCCTTTTTATCGTGACCAAAAAATCTGTAAAAGATTATTCATGACGTACAAAAGCATGCTGTCTATTCAGGTGTCACGGAAACTCTTAATCTTTTACGACGACCAAATGAGGTTGTAAAAGCATAATATAAACGTTGTCAATGAATTTTGTCTACGTGTAACTTATTTATGGGAAGCTAGAACCACCATAAAAGTGGTTACTCTGCTAAAAGCAGCAAAACCCAAAGGTTTACTTAAAACATTGTAAAAGTCCAGATGAGGAAACCATTCCAAAGCAGTAGTTGTTTTGAAAAAAGATAGATACTCTAAGAGCAGAATTCTATTTCTAGAATTGACTTTAGCGATAACTGTTCTTTGTGATTCTCGTAACGTGCTTCTTCTCTTTGAACTTCGAACTTCTATTGGTTGCTCCAAATTGATGCTATGATGCTTGTCATATTGTTTGCATTATAATTTTTATCGTTTTCCATTACGTCATATTCTTGTCCATAAATTTCTTTTTACCTCATTAGAATTATATAGAAATAAAATAGGCAGCATTAATGTTCAAGAAAATTGCTGTATGCCTCAAATAGACAAAGACAGGTTTTCATCAGTAAATGCAATAGATGATACTGAGCGTAGAGATAAAAATGACATTATAAAAAAGGTATGGTATTTATTCTCTACCGGAGATTGACTAATGAACCTTCTACACTTTTCTCTGTTTTTCTAAAATTCAATTAGTGTACAGGATATGTTAGTACCGAGATCAGCAGCTTCCAAGTTTCAAATACTTGCCTAATGTTTCAAGGAAATAAACGATGCCTCCTTTTTTGTTTGTGCTTAAGGATGCTTTGACGATAATTGCAGTCTCTTTAGTGCTTCAAATTCATATGTCCTGCGATTCTGTATGATGCTGGTGGTGCACAAATTATGTGGTGCTATTTTCTGAGCTTGTTCGACTGAAAACATGCAACAGTAACTGCACAGTATGATAATGCGATCAAATTGGTGAATGTATTGCTCACAATATAAAATGTATATACATAACTGAAAATTTCATAACCTATAATTTTATGAAGTTACAGTCTTTCCCTTGTTCTACTTGAGAAGCATAGGTTTCCTATGAATTATACGTAGATTTGTTAGCTTGACAATTGTTCAGCCTTCCATTCATTGCACACTGGTTCAGTTAAGGAAAAAGTTCAATGCATTTTTTCTTCTTTATTCATTTCCTCTCTCAAGTAGTAATTATAAATATCCTATATTTACTTCCCAGTACTGCACTTTTCGTTAACTTTTTTACTCTTTATCTTTTTTTCTTTTTCTACCGTTTAAATAATATTTAGTAGGCTACTTTTTCTTTATTGCTTGGTTGCTGACAGTATTTTGTTTTGAGACATTTCTTGTTCTTTCTTAAACTGCTTCACTTATAATTATACTTTGCTCACAATTCTCTGTCCTTGCTATTTTTCTTCTGCAACAAAAATCTAAATCCACTCTTCTAGTTTAAGTCATAACATATCATTCTTGGTTGAATTTTTCGATATTGTCAGTTACTCATATTGATGTAATCTTCTATTAGTATGTACTGTTCCATTTAGATCTTGTTTATAGTATCATGTTCCCTAAAATAAATTACTTATTGTTTATGAAACCTCATTATCTAATGAAATGGCTAAGACGTGTAATTATGAACTATTTATTTATTTTTTCAATTGAATATATTTATAATTTATATAGAACATGAGACATTAAAGTTCTGGATATGGTCGGATACTAAAATAGATATATCATTTGATACACCTCCTTGTTCAACATTTTGTACCAAAAATATGTCTACTGTTGTTATGTGGAGATAATCAATTTGAGACTTGGGAATATTGTAGGCTTACCTTGAATAAAAGAGGTTGGACTAGCTATGTGGAAATGGATCCCGGAATTGTGAACTACAATTTACATATGCAAACTAACTGCCTTCTATTTTTCGAATGTGAAGAAACTGGCAGAATGTGGGCTGGAATTAATTCTAGATTTTCCGTACCTTGGCCAGATCAATAAAGTGTAATCCTAGACTGGTGTTCTTCAACTATGAAGGGTAAGAAACTTCAGTATATGGTTGGTAGTCTTTCTTTGGCAGCGACTATCTATTTTGTGACTCTAATTTAAGCAAAAATTATCAATGCCATTAGAGGCAGACTTCTGTGCCTAAAAAATATAAGAAACTCTGCACAAAATCGATGGTTTTTACAAATTGGGGATTCACTAGATGCTGGTTAAAATGCAGTTTTAGGAGGTTTTCCGTTATTGAGCCGTTTGTCTAAGCCAAACTGGTAGCAGCAGTGTGTGGACTGGCTCTGCCCTGATGCTTTGGTTCTCTAAGTTTTAAATTTAATGGCTGTTGTGGTTTCCTTTATCAGCTTTGCTGTTGTTTGTAGCAGAGGCT